TCTTACATAGCATGAAATTCCATAGACTCATATAAGACAGTCTATCTGGAAAAACTGATATTTATTTCCCAAGGTAATATCTTGGATATGGTCAAGACTCTGCTACTTATCATATAGTCTACACACCCAGAATATCTGCATTGTATGCCATCTTCTACAACAACTTAAATCCTGCAAGGTCCTTTCCAGTGATAGGTATGTATCTACTACCTGGTAGATTGGCATGCAAAACAACACCACCCTTCCAAAACAATCTAATCAGGTTTAGAAATGGTGGACTTTCAAACTCTTGGAGAGGAGGAGGGCAGGAAAGGCAAAATCATTACCAAGAGCATTTCAATAATTCATACTCTCTCACAAATACTGCCAATTTAGACATTCATTTTACCTTGAGAAGGTAAGTGGGAATATTGCTGAAATCTACAGGCAACTTCAAAAGGAAGCGAGCTGAGAATTCTCCAGTCTGTGGAAAAAAGGTAACACTAATGAGACCTGGAGTCTAAAACAGAACCACGAATTGAATGTTCTGAGAATGAAATATTAACAAGAAAAATGCTTAAGAGCTCATACCGAACAGAAGGCTTGAGAGTTAACATTTCTCAATAGAATTACTGAGGAGGAAAATAATTATTTACAGATTTCACAGATGTTATATGAGAAAACACCTTAAAAACAATAAAACATCATTGTCAGTAAGTCAACAGCAAAAAGGAGTCAGAGTATAACGATGTGCATGACAAAAATCAGACTATACTTTGTTAGGCCCTAAATATAGATGTCTCTTGGCTGTATTCATTTCCGGACAAAAGTACTGCAAGACCTGCAAATGCTCTGAAACCAAGGCTAAAAAACTTTTTTAGCTAAAAAAGCTAAAAAATTTTATAAAAACATACAGATAAAATAAAGGCATCTTCACAAACACTGCAAGAAAATTTGCATTAAGGTGAGAATGTATCAAAAGCGTCCTCTGAATAAACACAAAGTAAAGAACTAAAGCAGGTTTTACATAATTTGTTTTCAGAGTTATGCAACTCTCAACACCTAGACAACTATTTACTGAAAGTTTGCCAAATGTGCCCTACACACAGCTCTTTTTTATGCATACAGTGTATGCAAAGGAAATGGAAAGGATTTCCTTTCTGTTTCATACGCTTCCTGAAAACCAAACTTTGTCCACCTGGTTATGAAGCAATGAAGCTCTTTTTGAAAAACAAATGCCTGCCTGATTTCCTCCATACTAATTTTTTGTCATCTCTATTTTTTAATTTAGTAAATTCATACAGCAGCTATATTTGTCCTGTTGAATTAGGAGAACAAAAAACATTAAAAATTAATTTTATGCAACTGAGTACAAAAAATTAGGATACTTCAAGACAAGGAAGCCAAACTTCTTTCTGTTTTAACACTGCCCTATTTTTGGATATATATGCTACTTAGTGATGACATACAATTTTTAAAACAGTACTTCATTTTAGCAGTCAGAGGGACAAATTAAAGCTGTATGAATATGCAGCACTCATTCTCACACAGTAACATATATGTACTACTTCACCATTTCCTAACCATAGTTATATGTACTTAATTTTCATTTTAGTGTTTTAAATGTTTTGCATAGGCAGACAAGACAAGAAGAAAAATATTTTAAACAAGAAGTTGTTTTGCCAGTGACCAGGCCCAACAAAAATGATAACACCAGCAGGAAGAGAATCCAATACACAGACTGTATTGTATACAAGAAGGACATTCCATGAATGATCGCTGGGGGTACAAACAGATCAATCAGCTGGTACATAATCGATGCCACCCCCAATGATCCCACAAAAGATGTGACTGGGCCCACAACAGGTGGTACAAACAGAGACCCGAGGTTGCCCACAGTTGGCATGGGAAACAGCCAGACCAGCCAGTTAAACACATGAGAAAAAGGTGCCCACATGGCAACTCTCACCCGATCCGCACGCGTTCACAAAGGCCTAAACAGAGCAGGGCCCAGCTCCAGGAGAGTCAGGAGGTCTGCCCTGAACCAGGAAGCTCTGGGG